CAAGTTAAAAATTTGTCTCTCACCTATTGTTTATTATTAAAAAATAAACACTTACTTTGGAGACCCCCCCCTGAATGTGTTGCTATCACAAGCAAACTGAAACTTATTTTTCTATGTACTATAACTTGTCAACAACATAGTACAGGGTATGATTTTAAGTCCAACCACTTTTTAAAAATCTGGATTTTTCACATTCTCACATGGAATTGCCCTCATTTATTTGCTAACACAAGTCAAGTAGAAATATAGTGTGGATGTGTCGTTTAAATACTTACGCCGGAGGAGGACAAAAGATGTCATTTTCTTCCATATCGCACACAAACATGTCTTCAGGCTATGCATAAACAAACACAGAAAGCCAAGATTTTATTAAAGATAGCACATAAATCACATGATTCCAGCAGAGCACTTAGATTCAATGTGATGTTATAGGTGTGAACAATCTTTATTTTTGTGTTTAAAACTTTGCCCAGAATTTTCTGTGCCATGAGTTGAAGAAACATATTTTTAGGAGGTTTAAGTTAGTACACTATGATTCTGTGCAAACTAATACCACTTACGAGAATTAAACAAAGCCAGACATACATGTATGTTTTTAACAGCATCTGTGTTTTAAATAATTTTTACATTTACTAGGTATAGTTTGGATAAGGAAAAAGGCAGCTTAGGTGAAGGTGTGTTATCTTATGTTGAGACATATAGGTTTTACACATCCCCTGCAATACTCAAGAGTGGTCCATATCTCTTTGAAAAGTCAGTCCATGATAAGACAGGTTTGAGGATAAGTCTTGATCAGGGCTGTCATTAAGTTTTGAGTCACCTGTAGCCTTGTTCTCCACACCCATAGCAAACTTGTTACTTTGTGGGTGAATTCTATCAACAACAGGCCAGTTCACACGTAGCATCAAGGGAAATCAAGTACACTCAGCCATAACAGGTGTTACAAGTTATGGTCCTTAATAATGACAGACCTGTTAATGGATTATCAAATTCTTACACTAACATCAAACAAAAGTGCAGCAATCAGTATGGAGAATTGATATTTTGAACTTAGGACCCATAAGCGTATGAGCTGTGGGAGCAGGGGGGCCTGCAGGCACCCCAGGTACAGACATTATGTAATTTTTCAGATAAAACAATCATGATTCGGGCAATGACACTTGAGAGGAAGAACTTTTTCTTTTAACAGGTTTTAGACTTACTAGATTGAAGCTGTTGACAGAAGTCTTTGAGTACACAAGCTTTCCATATAACTATTTTTTGAGTTATAGCAGTTTCATTAGATGTGAGAATTGTGAACGTTTTAATTTTGTTTTTCATGCAATTTGAGTGTGTTTGCATCCCAATTTCAACACTCCCACATTCGGTCTTTGCATAACTTTTTTGGGCAAGAAGGTC